GCCTGTTCCCACATCCCCTTCAGCCAGGGGCCCAGCCCTTCACCCTGCAGCACCAGCTTGGGCTGACCTGGAAGCTGGCCCCAGGGCCTCCGTCCCATCCGGAGCTGTGCGTTGTGATCACTGTGGTGGGTTTCACCTTTGTGGATCTTGACGGCTTGACTCCAGTCCAGGCCTGAAATTCCTGTCTGGAACGGAGAACATGGTCTCAACCTTGCACAGGGTCAGCCATTGCTTCCCCTGCCCCTGCCCGGGCCACTGCCCTTGCCCCTGCTCCTTGGAGTATTCCTGGCCATGCCCACTGCTGAAGTCCTGCTTCAGCTCCAGTGCTCCTTCCTCCCTTACAAGAGCAGAACTAGCAGAGCAAGTGCACTGCTCAGGCACAGCCGCTTCCTGGAGGAGGCGCGTCTAGCTGACCTTCCCTTCACTTCTGAGGGCTCCACCACGAAGTCCGCTCACCTGACCCCCAAAGGAAGTAGCTGCAGAAACTTAATGCCTATGTTGCAAATGAACAACTGCGAGCTGTCAGCACTTGATCTTATTTGTCCCAAACTGCAAGCACCTGGTGTGTGCTAGGCCTTGGAGACAAAGCAAGTCCCAGCCCTTCCCTCCAGTGCTCCCTATATTGTCTCGGCCACTTTAGAGGGTCCCTAGAGCCCCAGAACCAGTGAAGGTTGCTCACTTCCAGCACGGGTCACCGATGAGCCTATGTCCAGAGGAGGTGCTGGTTGCAAGTTAGACGGAAAATAAGGTTCAATCTTACATCTAGATTTTAATTTGTCTTATTAACTCCTGCAAAAGAGTAAGTCATAGTGACCATCACAGGAAGCTACAAGGAGGTCTGGCTTTCTTGCAAGGCTCTGCACTCAAACATGTTGCAGGGAGGCGGGGGTGGTGCGCAACAGTGAAAGCCAGCGCCCTGGAGGGAAGTGACAGGCTGCCATTGCCTGCTCCGTGACCTGGGAGTAACACTCTTTTGATGAAGACTTAATTCCTCTGAACAAAAAAGGACCCATTTTAATGACATCAACTCCACTACTAGACGGTGAGCTCAGGAAGGCAGGAGAGACCAGCCATGCCCACAGGAGCACCTGGCCGAGGCTGTGTTCTGGGAAAAATGGAGCAGCACCCACATGTGAGCTGGATCCGCTCCTGTTTCATGCCACGCACAGCCCTTGCCGGGTTTCAGGCCCTGAGGTCAACAAAGCTGCCTTTTCTCCTTGGCAGCGGCACAGCTGGGCCCACTGGGCAGGCCGAGTGTGCAGGGAGCAGTTGTGTCTGTCTGTGGTCAGCACTCGGGTGCCAGGAGGCGAGCTGGGCCAGGGCCCTTCCAGATCATTTTGCTTCTGAAGCTGCAGGGTTCCCAAGACCGGCTGCCTGAGCCATCTGCTGCTCTGTTTCTCTTGGGGAAGCAAGTCCTCCCCTGGGCGTGCCCTTCTGTCCCCAAACTGAGCTGGACCTCGGGCTTGGCATCCCAAACTGCTGCCCCAGGGTGGCTGCAGGGGTCCCAGAGCAGAAGGCAACCAGAGCCAGGGGTTAGAGCAGTGCCTGGGGCTGCTCTCGGGGCGGGGCTGGCGCTGCAGCCCAGGTGAGGGGGGCTGTATCAGAATACAGAAGGGACCAAAGATGGGATCCACAGGACCTGGTGACTGCTCAAGAGAGGAAGGTGAGGGGCAGGGGGCTGCCCAGGGCAACTCAGAGAGCCCTGGACCGAGGATTTGGGGGCCTGGTTCTCAGCCCAACATGGCTTCAAACAAATCCCTTAACATCTCAGAGGCGCCTCTGCTGAAAAGTGGGGCTACTGCTCCATATGCACAGTATTATGTTTATGTTGAGCACTCCCTCCCTGGAAAAAAAGGGGTCAAGTCTCGTCGCACTTTAACAGTTGGCCCTTCAGCTGACTGGCCCAGGAAGGAAAGAGGGAGGTGACTGAGGAAGGAGCTCTTCCAGAAGTGGGTGGAGCTAGAACCTGGGCCACAGGTGCTGGAGGGAATTCTCGGGAGGAGCTGCTCAGGAGGAGGGGGCCAGGCTGGCTGGGGGCAGAGCCCACCTGCCAAGCAAGTGAGGCAGGTCAGTTCTCACATGGAGACCAGGGGCTGAAGCGGCTAGATACTCTGCCGTATTTGGGGAACAGTTCACTTAGGTCAGGTGCATCTTGCAAGGCAGGCAGGAAGGACTGCTTATGCCAGGCTCTGGAGCTGGGAGTGGAGGGTCCCAGAGGCCTGCTGGCCAGGTTCGGCAGTGGTCCTGTGTCTCTGTGGGGGCTCAGGGACCAGGCAGCCACGCTCTTGCTATTTCTGCTCCACAGATGAGAAAAGGGGCAGAGAGGTCAAGTGACCCACCAGGTTTATACACCAGGAAGTGGGGCCACTACTGCAGGACACTGTTCAAGAAACCAAGTGACTCAGAGGAGGCAGCATCTTATGGGATAGCCTGTGTGTTGGGGGGTACACATTTGGTCTCTGAGGCGAGACACACTTGGGTTCCACTGCCTGCTCTGCGGACCTTGTGCCACTGCTCAAGCTCATCTGTAGAATGGGGATGGCAAGAACAACTGATTCCAGAGGGTTATTGTGAGGTCTTGGGGAGATAATCCGTAGGAAGTCCTGAGCCTGGTGCCGGTATGTGCTAAGCAGAGTGATAACTAGGGTCTTCAGTGTCACTGGAGCTGGGAGGACCCTGTAGAATGTTCAAACCCACCTTCTGCTCCCCATGGACGAGGGACTGCTTCTAAAAGCCCAGCCTCTGAACATCCCAGTAAGGAGGAGCTCAGCACCACACGAGGCAGCTGCTCCAGTCAGTTCTGATTAGAAAGTGCTTCCTGCCCTAGCCAGCGTGGCTCAGTTGGTTAAGTGTCATTGTCCCATGCACCAAAAGATCAACAGTTCATTCCTGGTCAGGGCACAAGCCCTGGTTGTGGGCCAGATCCCCACTAGAGGGCGTGCAGGGGAGCAGACGATTGAAGTGTCTCCCTCACATGAATGTTCTCTTCCTCTCCCTTCCTCTAAAAATCAATAAAAACATATTTTTTTTAAAAAAAGCGCTTCCTTCCCTGAGCTGAAACTGCTCCCTGCAAGCACCACACCTGGTCCTGCTTCTGACACTGAGCGCATGAGCCACATGAAGGCGCTGCATACCCAGGACCTCTAGCCTTCCAGACCTCACCCTTTAGGTCCCTCCAGCTGGCTCGGGGCCTGAGGGTGCAGCAGTCAGAACCGACCACCTCCTTCCCTGCCCCCGACATTCCCACGAGCTGAGAGTGTGTGTCTGCGAACACAGAGCCACCCTGCAGCAACCACTCCCCATCAAGCTCTTAAAACTGCAGGCCCATGAAGGAGCATCTGGGGAGATGGGACATTCTACATGTCTTGATAAAGGCTTCTACAAAAGTCATCAAGCCATATACTTATGGTGGATGAATTTTACTGTATGGAAATTATACCTCAATACAGCTGATTCAAAAATGAAATAAAGCAGAAAGTTCATACCTTTTGTCCCTTTAATTCCACAGGTAAGAATTTATACTAAAGAAATTATGATAGGAACAAAGATTTACTTATCACAAAAGTTATTTTTTTCCTAAAAATTTATTTTTTAATATATCTTTATTGATTTCAGAGAGAGGAAAGGAGAGGGAGAGAGAGAGAGAAACACCAATGATGAGAGAGTCATTGGTCAGCTGCCTCCTGCACGCCCCCCACTGCGGATCGAGTCCAAAACTGGAGCTTGTGCTCTAACTGGGAATTGAACTGAGATCTCCTGGATCACAGGTCGATGCTCAACCTCTGAGCCATGCCGGCTGGGCAAAGTTGTTTACTTTTAAAAGGTAACACCTGTACATGTGGGTTTTTTTTTAAGCAATGTGTTCAAGAGACAGAGTAGAGTGAAAAGTCAGTGTCTCCTTCCTTCCCAAAACAGTATCCATCATCCTCGCCCCTCCACCTCCCCCCCAAAGGTTACCATCCATTCAGAGATATCCTATGCTTATTTAAGCAGATATGTGTATATCAATACCCCTTTTGAAAAAACACATAGTAGCAGGCATGCTGTTTTGCATCTTGCTGGTTTGACATGGACCTACTGAAGAGCTTCTGTTACCAGTACATTCTAGGCTTCCCAGTAACCCATCCTATGGCGGAGCTATAATTAACCAGTCCCCTCAGCAGGACAGGGGCTGCGCCCACCTTCTGCTGTACAATGTTGCAACAGACCTTATATTGCTTAGCTCCACCCCACCTAGGGAAAATTCCTGGAAGCGAAGTAACAGCCCCAGATTAGAAACACCCTAAATATTCAATGGCATGAGAGTAGATTAATAGCATTTGCATAGATAGAGGTGCATATCCCTAGGATAAAAAACTTCACATCTACTAAAAACCATGTTGTGGAAAAACATCTGGTACACGGACGGGCACCCACAACATGTACAGTACGAAGCTAATCGTGTAGTAACTGTACATGAGCAGGCACTCGAGTGCACGTTAGGGGTCGGCACCACCAGATCGGGTGGGCTGGTTCTGTAAGCTGTAGTTTTTCTAGTGATTATGTATGAGTTTTGCAATGAAAGGAGGGAGAAAGCCCTCGGGCGTCCAAAGGCAGGGCTTGGAAGGGGTGTGCGTGGGGAGGGCCCACGGACCTGTCCTCAGTGACAGCCAAGTCAGCGACCCTCGGCCAGGGGGTCGGAGCTCTGCTTGGGCCTCACCAATCCCCGCAGAGGCCACTGGCCAGAGGAGCTCAGGCGACCGCCTGCGTGCACCCCTCCTATGGCTGGGCCCACCTTGTGGAAGTTAAAGGGAAGCCGATTTTAACTCAGCCCAAGGCAGGGCTTTTTCACGGTGCGGCGCGAGGAGGCTGCGGGCTGGAGGCGAGGTAGTGAGCTCCCCCTCGGCGGAGGTACGCGCTCATTCTCTCTGAGGCAGCGAAGGGACCAAAGGGGATGACCTTCGAGGCGGCCAGCCGCTCTAGAAGCCGTGCGGGAGGGGGTTCCAGGCGCCCCCTCTCCCGCAGCCACCCCGGTCCCCGGCTCGCGGCCTCGGTTTCCTGCGCTCACGAGCTCCGGCCGCGGTGCGCTCCCTGCCCCAGCCGCGTACCTGTACGACGTGGTCGCCGCCGCCGCGTCCGAGTCGCCGATGGGGAGCACGTAGATCCCCCGGCCAGGGTTTGCAGGGGACGTGCCCCTGCGGCCGCCCGCCCCCGGCCTG